ATCTCCCCCCCCCCCCCCCTAAAAAAAACCTCCCGCATATCCATATTTGCATGCTTCCATTGTTGTATTATCAATTGTCTTATGGATGTCAGTGCCGATGGGTATCGTCAGGCACAGCAAAATGAAATTAGATTTGTTAAGAAAGCATATTTAACCAGATTTTACGGAATGAGTTTTTCTAGCTTGTGACCCCTGATAATTAAACATAATATGAAACTTTCGCTATACATGAGGAAAAATTGAACTGAGCAAGGGACAGCTACAAAAGAGTTTAACCATATAGTCATTATTATTAGTATTATTAATGATGATTTCTAAAATTCTAATAATAATTTTCAAGTATTTAAATAGGCACATAACGTAAAGTATAAGCATATTTGAGTTATAGCTGGCAAAGCATTTAAAACATATTGTGTTACTGTGAGGAATTGCTTTACAAGCAAATTGCCCAGTTGTTACTTATTTCTGATAAACATTTTGTACTATTTTTTAAAATTCTACAAATATTTGTGGTATTTTTGAATAAAATGAAACTTTATTAGAAATATACACATTCCATTCATATTGTTTGTATTATCATAAGATATTGTATCGCTAATATCAAAGACCGCATGTCCAATTCATGAGGATCATTAACCGAATCTTGGTGTTTCGACAACCTTCTGGTTGTTATCAACGAAGATTAGTACTCGATCACTCCTAGAATTCACTTCTGTCTTGAACCGTTTATACAGTGGCGGGTTAACCTGAGAATGAGGAAATTTGAATCAAATGAAAATACAAATTTTGAAATATTTGTTGTTTTTTTTATGGTGAAGTGGGCCGTGTTTCATATATATTGACTTAGAGAGCAGCTTAGTTCAAACGGCTAAACTGGTGGTAGCCACTGTGTGCGCAGAATTGTGGAAATCTCTTGGTCCCCGTGTACAACTCTTGTATTTCAGGTAAAGAGCTGAAATGCAAGTTATGATAGAGCACCCAGGTATACGTCTAATTTATTCCTATATTTAATTCGTGATTCCTACGTAAATGCTGAGTTCCATTGGTTCTTCATTTCATTCATTTCTAAAAATATTAATTTTTTTTTTAACTAATAGGAATAAAATTGAAATCAATTGAATCTATGAATATTCATCTATAACGATGTGGTGGGCAAAACTTTAAATGCCTACGCTAAGTGACCACAATGACAAATTTAAATCATTGCCTTCTACAAATATTCTGGTGAAAAATTGACCTGTACACTGTTTGTGGTTAGCAATGTAAAGTTTTAAAATGTCAGAATGAAGGACTTTATTTTTGTTTTTATAATTGAAATTATATCAAAATATTCATTATTGTTTCAGCTTTAATTTGGTGGTAGGCAAAAAAAAAATCAAAGGAGTAGTTCCCTATATATGGTGATGTAAATGCGATTTTTTTCCCCAAATCAAGATACAAAACCAGTGGGGACCCTGCTGTGTATGAGCGCTAACAGCAGTTTGAACCATTAGGAGATCAAGTGAACCATATGTATTGAAATCACTATACATTTTATATATCATTCATACAGGCCTAAAAAAGAAAAATAATTACAATGGTAATTTCAGCATCAGGACGGTCTTTTGAAATAGCTTGCGTAGCCACCATAATATCCTATAAAAAAGCAAATTAACTTAAATTAATAATAGAGTAGTCTAAGTTTCATGACTTTCAAAGAAGTATCGAATCACACAGGGCCTTGTAGACGGTTCTAGGCTGGTTGCTCTCCAGCCCCCGGAAATTTCCCCAGGACATTTTCCCCCTGGTATTTTCCCCCCGTACATTTTCCCCCCGGTATTTCCCCCCCGGACATTTCTCACCCCCTCCCGTGACATTTTTTCTCCCGGACTGTTTAACCTCGGACAATTGGCCCCTCCCCCTGACTTTAACCTCAGTACATCTAATATATAATTTCTATAATAAATCTTAATTTATAATACATTTTTTTTATTTTACTTAATTTTAAAGAAGTAGTTGTTCCTACAATATTCATTAGTGCAATAAGATAGCAAGACAAATTCATAAGAACTAATGTTTCCCTAGGTTCAGTGTTCTTATTTTGGTTTAAAACCTTATTTGACATTTTACCTCAGCCTCAAGTTGTTCTTATTTTGTTCTTATTTTTTAACGATTTCAGCCTCAGTGCTCTTATAAAATATGTTGTTATAAAAAAAAATAATTTTTTAAAAAATAAATTTAAAAAAATTTAAAATAAGAATTAAATAAATAAAAATTAATTAAAAAAATGTGTAATATAATAGCTTAATGGCTTACTGTATTATGTAGTTCGTCTTTTTTATGTGTGTATAATTATTATATTCTATGTGTTCAATAGCGTTATATAATAATTTAATGATAATAATTATAATAATGATAATAATAATAATTATAATTATTATAAAAATGGCGAAGTAATCCACACCGACATAGGACCCTGTATCTCCTCTGATTACCAAGTAATTTCACTTAAAATTCGGAACAACCAATAGATAAAAGGTCCCGACTTTTGGAAATGAAATACAGTAATAGTTTTTTGAATGATGAAGAAATTTTTGATGAAAAAAAAATTGTAGAAAATGTTTTAAAAATATGAATATAACGACCAGATTTACTCTGGGAATATCTAAAAGTTAAAATTAAAGAGTTTTCAAGTAAATATGGAGTTAGAAAAAAAAAAGAGAGAAAAAAAAAGACACTTTATTCAAAGAAATTGAAATAATGGTAAATAAACTATACCGAGCATATATGACGAGGATACAGAAAGTACACTTAATAACAAAAAAAGGAATTAGATCAAATATATTTTTCAGAAGCTAGAGGAGCTCAAGTTAGGTCCTGTCTTCAATCGTTCGAAGAAGGAGAAAGGAATACAAAATACTTTATAGGTTTAGAAAAAATAATACTAAAAAGAAATGACATCAATATTAAAGGCCAATGGGAAATATACTATACATACTGAGGAGATCCTTAAGGAACAAGTTAATTTTTTTACACATTTATACAAAAACAAATCAATACCTGGATTGACGCTTTCCAATATTTTATTACTGCTCACTGTCATAAAAAAACACAATCGCATTTAAACTTTGTTTTGTTTCTTTATTTTCAAAGAAAACCCGGTCAACAGCCATGATCGAAAAACAACAACAAACTTGCGCTCTCGCATAAAAAACTATTATAGCGCCCTCAACATTTCAACTATCGTTTTAATTAAATAATAATTTTTCTTCTATTCATTCTCCCCTTCTTCGACATACTACAGTTTGTCGACATTTCGCATTAATTTTAACATAACATAAATTTTACATCATCATGGTATTTGTTTAACAAGCATAAATATAATAACATTGAATCCCTGGTATATATGATTTATGAAGCACCAATAGCATATATGTACAAACACTTTTTAGACTTTGTGAACACTGCTTTTATGAATTAAATACATGAATCCAGTACAATCTAATGAACTATGGCATGAAATACATTACTATGACCTTTAAAATTTTACTGAAAGTTGTTCACACTAGCTTTATGCATTTCTTTTTTACTTTACATTATGGTACATAATATTGATCCCTATTAATTATTACTATCATATGTTTACTTTATGTTCCATCGGACCGTTGATAGACATTTTAACAATTTTTTTTTTTTTTTTTTTTTTTTTTTTTTTTTTTTTTTACAATTTTTTTCAACACACA